AAATATTAAACTAGGAAGTATTTGATTTACAAGAGAAAGGTTTTATTGAAAGGCCCTGAAGTCAGCAGAATATAAATATATAGTTTACACCATATAAATATATTGGGGAAAAAACGATGCAAAGGTCATCTAAGCTGGGAAGTAGAAGGATATGGAGTATGACTTGGGAGAGATCATGGAGCTCCCGAACTTGGTGAGACTAGATTGTAGTTGGTGAGGTTCCAAACTAAAACAGTGGCAGAAGAGAGGGACAGATGTGAACATATTCAGGGAGTAGATTACTAAATGGGATGGATTAATATGGAAAGAGAAGGCAAGGAAGGAATATAGATGAATCTCAAATGTGCAATTTTGGTGATTAGACAGATTTATAGAGAAAGATTTTGATTTCCATTTTGTTAAGGTCAAGGAGCTGTGATGCATCTACATCAAATTTCCCAGTGGGTAGTTTATCATGATTAGAAGCATGGCTTTCAGGAGAAAAACACATTTGGTGTCAAAAAGCAGATTAGTGATTGTCTAGGGTCAGGACTAGAGAGTATTGAATGCAAAGGGGAACTTTGGGTGATATAAATGTTCTACATTTTGATTGTAGTGGTGGATACATAGCTGCATACACTTGAAAGAACTCATTGAACTTGAAATGGCTGTACTGCATTTTATGTAACTAAAGTTATTTTTAAATGTTTTAAGTCATAAATATATTAATGATAGTTGAAAATGTGAAGTGGACAAGATAAATGAGTAAGGTTATAGTGAGGGATAAGAAGGAGATTGAGGCTAGAACTGTATATAAAGGATAGGTGAGGAAAACTAGCAAAATCATTAGCCAGTGTTTAGTGCTTAGCCATGACACAGAGTAATATCATTTTAAAGCTCTTCGAGGGCTTATATGTCATCTAGTTCTACTTCATTTTACATATGAAGGAAATGAGGTTCATATCGAGGTAAAATGCTTGGCTCAAGGCCACAAAAACAGTTCATAGTAAAGGCAAACTAGATACAAGCCAGGACTCCTGGTCCTGGGATGGTTGTTTTGAAGTACTCCACCAGTAGGACTTAGCTGTAAGAGGACGCCCTAATTCCAAAAAAAAAAAAAAAGAGAGACCCACTGATATCGCACTGGAGCTGAGCCATTTATTTCTTTCTCTTGGTTATTTTCTGTGTGCAGTGTTCATCAGAGCCACATGACCATATGAGTTTGTAAAAAGCCTTAAAAGACAAAACCACCTTATGAGAGAGGTGCTACCAGCTGCCATTACCTGAGATTTGGGAAGTAGAAAGGGATAAGGTTAGATCTAGATGTGTACCACTATGACTGAAATAGAGGATCATTTTTCATCACACAAATACACACTTACAAAGCAGGTTTTTTGTTTTGTGTACATTGCGCAGGCACTTTCTGACAAATCAAAGCAATACACACATCACATGCCAGTGAAATATAAGAAAAAAATGTAGAGAAAGTATTTTACAATTTGTCAAGCCAAGCGCCACCTTTTTATTTTTGTTTTCTTTCACTTTTTTTTAGAAATAAATAAGTGCACATAAGTGTACTTCCATTTATAATGAGAAAAGAGACAAAAAGTCGACTTCACTGATGAATACTGAACAGATGGAACCAGAAGCATCTAGGGGAGAGGAAATAGAGACAAATATGGTTGCCATGGTTTCTTTGAGATGCAGTAAACAAAGGGACCCAAATGGACAATGAAATCCCCTACTGGGAAAAACCACATGTCGCTCCTTTCTTTTTTAGTTAGATAATTGCCAAGCTCACTTTGACTCTTTGGAGTCAGTGGGAGGTGAGAGAACAGTGATGCTGTCACTCACCCCTGGCTATTCTCAAATTATATTTATCCTGAGACCATCCTGTTCTCCTATATAACAGACATCAAACAATTAATGACTACCTCAGATTAATCAATTATCCCAGTGGGCAGTGCCCTGAAGAAATATGTGACACATGTAAACATGAGAGAAGCCGTGCACAGCTTGAGACCAAGTTCCCTGTTTAATTGGGAAGCAGCAGCCAATATGAGAACAACATTTTAAGAAATTTGTAAATCCTGGTGGAGACATTCAGGTTCCTAGTCTCTGGAGTCATTTTCCGGTCATCTCCAAATTAACCTAAATCCAACTCTTCTGTATTCTAGGTAATGTGTGAATCATAAGAAAGCTTGATATATCTGCATTGTCCAATATTTCCCTATAATCTGTGTGAGGGGGTGTTGGAGAAGGAGGAAGTAGGGGTGGGGAAGGACCCCTTCACAACAGCTTTTTTGAGAGGCAAATGGAAGCCCAGCACAATGAAGACTGTTTTGATCAATAGGAAAATGTTGGAAACATTCAAATGTTTGGTTAGACCTGCATGTTTTGTCTGGAGGTTCCAATCAGGATGACACAAGGTCTCTTCCAAGGCCATCCCGAAGGCTGCCAGTGCTATCAGACTGTTGAAACTTTGAGTTCTACAGCAGGCCCTCTCCCACCCCTACCAAAACAGATTTTTTTCTATTCCATACAAGATTAGAGGTTGTTTCTTCTTGTTTTCTGTGCCCTTCATGAATGACCCTCCAGTTTGCTAAAGGATTGTGCAAAACAGAGGTCATGTGTCGGGGTGAGGAATGGGGCTATGTTTCTGAAACACTGGTTCTGGGGTGATAGGCAGGAAGACTGTGTATACTTGAGCCAGCTGCAGACAGAAGAAGGGTGGCTTCACACTGGCTCGGCTACATGTCCTCAGAGGCACACAGTCACCAAGTATTTTTTAAGTTTTTGAAATTTATCTCTCAAGTCTATCCCAAAGCCCAACACTTGCAACATCTAATTTCCTGTTTGGGGATTTTCTGAAACTGAAGCTGAAATGTTGGCCTCTGTAAAGATCCCTGTAGAAAGACTTCTTCTCTGGAACTATGACTGTGTGCATCAGCTTCACTGTACAATTTGGCCTCATCAACTTAATGCTATTTTTATATCTCTTCAGAAAGTGCATTTTTCATTATTTTTCTTCATTGTTTATAACTTTGTGTTATGAACAATGTCCTTGTCATCCCTCTTATTATAAAGTTTATTTGGGGGTGTTGCTTTTTCAAAGGATGAAAGGATGGGGCAGAATATGAATCTTAAGGAGCTATAATATCCTCTATAATAACAAAAATGGGGGAAAGTTTATATAAGCATCAAATTAGAAAGAATCACAGAATTGATTAATGGTATTGTTTCTTAGACCTGGGACTTGTGTGGGACAGGGGAAATGGGCATAATAAGTATAGCTTAGGAAATGACATCAGATACTATTTTCTTTGAACTTGAAATCTGGTTTTCCATAACTGCTATCATGGTTTACTATAGTGTCACCTCAAAGATCCCAACATTGTTTTTTTTTTCTGAGTTTTTGTTGCTCACACAAATATATCATCATTCCTTCTTGGTAGTGAGTTTTGCTGTGCCGGCTCTCAGAATGTGATGATGAGCTATGTATTATATAATATGCATCATTGTTTGATTTCGCAGGTGTTATCATGGTATTGTGATTATTTAGAAGGCCCTTCATAGAATATAGAGGGGTAAAGTATCTTAATGTCTGCAATATATTTTCAAATGGCAAAAAAAAAAAAAATTAAAAGAAAAAGATAAAGCAAATGTGGTAAAATGTCATACATTGGTGAATCTCACTGGAGAACCATTAAGTGTTAATTATATTACTTTTACCACTTTTTTGCAGTTCTAAAACTTTTTCAAAATAAGATAAGTGGGAAAACATGTTCTTTAATGTGAGGAAGAAAGGTCTCTAAGTCTCAACAATTTTGTTCCGAAGAGAGCTTACAGGATCTATTCTACTCGAATTTCTACTGTTTCCTATAACAGGTTTTTAACTTTTCCATAAATAAGGTGTTTGGTTGAAGGCACCACCCTTTCCAAACACAAAAAAGCTCCTCCCCTCCTCCAGAATAAGGGGAGCCCAATGGCCTTACATTGCCATATGTAAAGGGACTGATCAAGATAAGGTCATCTCTACCCAGGAGATTGGGAGACCGAAAGCAGCCTCTACTGGCAAATCTCTCAATTAAAAGAAAAAAAAGTTTAAAATTTCACCCCACCATGGTTAAACTGAGGTTTTGTGTGTGTATGTTCACACACACACACACACACACACACACACACACACACACACACACATACACACGCAGAGGGGGAGGATAACTATTTACCTCAAATGGTTATTGTGACAACTAAGTGCCATTATACATGACATCCTGGAGCACCCCGTGCTCAGAGACTGTTTTGGAACACAGTGGAGCTTATTAACAGCTTTCACTCTCAAAAGTGTCCCACTTTGGATGAGAAATTATAAGGTTATCCTTACTTGCTGTCACAGTGTTTCCAGAAAACATACCCCGCTAAAAAGCACAGACGGGACATCCTCTTTCTGAATAAGCATTGCCAAAATGTGTTTTCAAGATACTCTCTAGAGCTACTGCAAAAACAAACAAACAAATAGGGAGGGGCGTCAAGTTTCATTTTCATTGTTTCTGCTCCATTACCTGCAGGCGAAATGAATTTGCGATTTTAGACTGTGGAGATAGAAAGTAGAAGATATCTGTGATCACACTCTGCTACTTAAAAACGTTCATCTAAGTGACCTGTGTTCTCAGATAGCAGATATTATTATTTTAGTGGTGAAATGAGTCTTATTAATGGTGTGTGAACTACATACACAATGACTGAATGAAGCTTGTAAAATAAAACTTTTTCAAGCACTATGACTCAGTATATACTGACTCATCCCAGACCCTGTACTTAGGGTGAACTGATGGAATTTAGCCACAGGAGAACTGCTTGCCCAGAGGGGTCACTATCATTATTGCCATTCCCTAAGTCATAGCTGTTATACCTGCCAGAAATCACCCCATGTTGACAGAAGAAATGCCTCTTTTTCTGGGGACAGTAATAAAACAATGGAGTTAAGGATGAAAAGAACAGAGAACGGATTTGCCAACTTCAATTTTGAACTCTTAGTATTTTTAATACAACATTTCAATATAGCATGTTTAATACACTCTATCAATATAACCCATTTATATCGCATTTCATGTTTCTAATAACATAATGGTAGGGATTCAGGAGGTAAATTCTAGCTCATGGAGCTCTTACAAAACAGAGAAATAAAAACTTCCTGGAAAAGGTTTATATTTTTCCTAAAGCATTTCCATTTTTGTTCTCCTACTAGAATTAGAATGTAAGTTCTGTGGTATCAGAGGTTTTGTTGATTCCATTCACTGCTGTATTCCTGTGGCCCAAAATAATTCCTGGCACATAGTAAGTGCTCAATTAAAACTTACTGACAAATAAATTCCAGACAAACTGATATTCTAAGTAACCCAAATAATGAGAAATTCTCTGATATATTTTAAAAATATTTTTCTTGCTCCTTAATACTTTTTATTTCCCAATTTAAAAAAACCAAAAGGCTTGTTTTTCCTATCAAAAGCTCTGATTACTTTTATCTTATCCCAATTTTCAAGTAACCAATTTTTTAAATCTTCCATTGGAAGTCACATTTTTACTTATGAAACTCTTTGACTAAAATATATATATTTAAAATAATTGTGCCTCTCCAGTAGATAATACTATCTTTTCCTTCCTTAAAATTGTAAAAACAAACTAAAAACATCCTTACATGTCATCGTCTCTGTTTTCATTCAATGTCAAAAGCACCATTTCACCACCAATATCATCAAAAAAGTCTCTAAGTATCAGGAAGCTGTCAAGCTCAACGAGGTAGAAATTCGTTATTCAAAATTTTAATTTTCACTTAAAAGCTGAAATTTTACCATTGGCAACAAATTCTATCAGTTCTCTTAAAGTGGCAGGCTCACTTTGTTGTCATGAAAATGACTGACAAAAAAACTAAATGAACCACCAGTTTACCAGGTGTTCTTTAGAGTAAAAATGGCATTTCATGGAAAAACAGCTTTTCAGCTCACAACTTAAACAATCGCACGCGCTTTCCCTTCAGATTCCCATGTGCTTTGGTTTGCAACAGAAGTGCTTTATGTATACTCCCCATTTTGTCACACAGAACATTAAAAAGGTTGACATGTACTCAAAGGCCAAGGTTTAATAAAATTAGTCATTTTTATTGCTTCATTAAGGACATTCTTAAGTAAAACTGGCTTTATTTTTCTGTGAGTGTGACTCATCAGGTGAGTTTTCATAGTCATGTTTACTCTGTATATATAAGAAACAACTTGGGCTCATTCCAAAGGCTCCTGGGATAATGAATGCCCCTGCCTCAAAACCATTAATATCACCTCTTGTCTCTACTGACAATTTGTAAATTTCTTTAATTACCTCCTCAGTCAGTTTTTTTTTTTTTTTAATTAAAGCATTCATGATAGTAAAATTCCTAATATTTATATTGGCTTATTTGGGCTGGGTATATATCCTCCTCTGGTGAGCGATGTTGGATGATGTGGTCATGGTTTGAATAGGAAATAAAACAGGGAATAAAGTTTTGACCTATTGCTCAAAATGCCCTTGGAGGCATTAATCAATGTCCAGTTCTGACTCATTTCAGAAGCTTCAGAGACAATAGCTACACTGCTCATGTCTCTGGTTCCAGGGGGATACAAGATTAGATATGAGGGAAGAAACCCCAGGATGGTGAAAAGAAGTCTGTCAGTCATGACTGGTCTTACCTTCTTAGGTATACAGCCATGCCTTACCACAGGTTTGGCTGTCAAGCCCAATCAGTTGGGAAGACAAAAATCATGGAGAGGCACTTCTGCCCTGCCCACACCTCTGCCTCTTGCCCATGTCCTTAATAATCCCCACCCCCAGCACCAATGGAGTCACTAATTTAATGGATTGAGTCCAGGATATTGATGGGGCCACATTTTATTAGTCAGAGAGATTACTATGACTTAAAAGTGAGCTCCCATGCATTGTATCCCATATTCTTGCATCCATAACATATGAAGAGCTAACAAGGCTGAAAGAAGACCTGATTAGGTTCCTCCCCTTTTCTTCCTTTTTGGATCTTTGGTTAATGAGTAAGCAGGATCAGGACCTACAGACCTGGTCATCTTTTTCTCTTCTCTCTTGATATAGGCACCCTGAACAGGATGGTCCCAAGATTCAGAATTGGGAAATGAAAAAGCAGTAAAAGATCCTACTTAGGCTTCAAATCTAAGTTATATGTTCAAATCCAGCTTTTACCAGAGGTCATTGCCTTGAGTTTATTAGGGTTTGCACAGCTTCTATAAAGAGGTTGTTTCTCACTATGCTGTTGGGAGCTTTGTATACAACTCCATCAGAAATTTCATGGAGAGAGCAAAATTTAAGCATTCCTCAGTTCCTGGTTTTAATTCCATCATAATAATATCACAATGTCTTACCCAGAATCTGTCACAACTCTCTCTCATGTCTTATTTATATCTGCTATAATGCCTAGCACAATGCCTACCTAATAACAATAAATATGGATGAAATAACTAAATGAAGAACAAAAGGGTACCATCCCTGGTACTATCATTAGTAAATCCTTTTTTCTGAACAAATCTCAAACCACGTCTTCACAAACAAAAGGGTTATGGCCACATATAGCTGGAACAACTACAGCTAGCATTTACTGATTTAAGTACAAATATGAACATTAGCTTACTTAATCATCACAATAGCCTCACGGGGAGTTTGGATATTATAATATCCATTTGACAGATTAGCAAACTGAAGCTTAGAAAGGCCAAAACCTTGATCAAAATTGTAAAGATGGTATATTGGAGAGTGGGAACTCAAACCGGGGCTTTCTTACTATAGAGTCATAGCTCATTATTCTATATTCCCTCTGAGTTTTCAAGCATTTATTTCTGTTATCAGAAGAAAATAAAGATATATATTGGTATTAAAATTATGAAATAAAGATATTAGCGCTAATGACAACAATGAAAATGAAAACAAAGGAAAGAAACTTCCTAAAGAGGGGTGAAGAAATTTTTTATAAAATATTCAGGATTGCAAAAGTACTTGAAACATATACTAACTACCATTTTTCTTGGCCTGTGAACTTCTCTATCGTATACTTTTGAAGATTCCAAGAAAAATATATGTCACTTATGCAGAGTTGTATTCATCTTGCTCTGGATAATCAACATCATTCATTGAAAATTAACTCTACACTGGATTCCCCTAATAAACTGTTATCTTTAGCAGGAATTATGTGCTATTAATGATTTTTTTCAATGTATAATATTACATTGGGCATTTCAAGGTCAAGTCTGTACTATACCCCATGTCACTGGCCCATGAAAAAAAGGGAACTGGAACTGCAGGAGCTCACCTAAGTTTCCCCCTTACACCACGTCAGGAACATGAGTATCAGGGACTCTTCCTGTCCTCTAGAGCTTACATCTTTCCACGATAAAGAACACCAAAGCCATGACACATCCAGTGGCACCAGGCTTTAGTAACATCTAGAAGCCTTCCTTCCCTTGAATGGAAAGAAAATGTGAGCCAGTGTTTTCTCCTTGTCTTTCATAGAGATCCAGCAGATGTTCCAGACGAAACAACTAAACCTTGTCTGTGACAGGATCAAACAATACAGGGAGTGCTCGCAAACCTGTGGGGCTGCCCACCACTGCAGGTTGTGCATCATTCTAAGAAAAGACAAATCAGCTTCAATAAAATTGGAGTTCCTTGGGAACTCCACTCTTACATTGATCAAAATATACAGGCTGTCCAGCCCAAATCATACGATCATTATTCTGCTCAGCAGTACAAGGGACAATTGGGAACATCTCACTGATCAAAACACACAAGGAGGAGGCACATCTTCACAAGAATTCCATTTTGGGGGTAGGAGGGGGAATGAGGCAGTATGCAGGGCTAAATGAAAATAAGAAAGGTTAAAGAAGTGGCTAAGAGTATGGAGAAGGTAGAGTTGGGCCTATGTTCTTTTGACTTAATAGATAGCGAATAAACTTCACACCGCTTTTTTTACTCACTTACATCCCTGGAAACCAACAGATGGAATCTCTCATTTTCAAGCGCTAACACATTTCATGTTCCTGCTCAGCATCAGGACACTGGGTTTGCCAAACACCAATAAACTGCAAATAGTGAGGTGAGCAAAAAGAATCCACAGCTATACCCTCTGCCTCCCTTACAGTGGGGAAAGAACTCTATATTAGGTGAGTACAGGGTCCAGCAGGTACATGGGTCCAGTCTTGTAAACTGAAGGTGACCAGTGTCCATGAGAAATACAATAGTCTATCGTGGTACATTCCAAAACCACCAGTGGATGCTCGAAATCACAAGATAGTACTGAAACCTTTATATATGCTTTTTCCTGTACATACACACCTATGCTAAAGTTTAATTTATAACTTAGGCACCGTAAGAGATTAACAATAACTGATAAGAAAATAGGACAATTATAACAATACACTGCAATAAAAGTTACGTGAATGTAGTCTCTCTCTCAAAGTAGCTTATTGTATTGTACTCACCTTGTTGAGATGTGATATGATGAAATGTCTCATGTCGAGAACTTTCACCTTTTCACTTAAAGGAAGCACTTTATGGATTCTCTTTGGCAAATGTGAATTGCCAGAATCACCACTCTTGTGCTTTGGGGCCATTAGTAAATAAAATAAGGGTGACTTGAACACAAAACTGTGTTCGAAACCGCGAAACCGAGGTAGTCGAACTGACAACTGAGATGGCTGCTATGCAACTAACTTGTGGGAAGACAGCGAGCGTCTACAGCGTGGAGACGCTGGAAGAAGGGATGATTTACGTCCTGGGCGGGACGGAGCTGGACTCGCGAGATTTCATCATGCTACTCAGAACAGCGTGCAATTTAAAACTTACGAATTGTTTATTTCTGGATTTTTTGTTTAATATTTTCGGACCGCGGTTGACCTCAGGTAACTTAGACCATGGAAAGTGAAACCACAGATAAGGGGGAACGACTACATTTACTTTTTAGTATTAAAAAAATAGAGGTGACCCCTAAGGGTAATTCATATCTGTTATTTCATAGGGCTCATTATGAGTACTGCAGCAATTCTTATCCTAAAGAGTAGCTATTATATTCAAATATTAAGGCAACCTAGAAAATAAACCTCCAAAAGTCTCTAGTCTTTATCATCCTGATACTTTCATAAGTTAGTCCTTGAATACTAAGGCCCAAAACTCTTGAGCTGAAAAGTTTTGATTCCTATCCACCAGCCACCTTAGTGCCTGGGCTTCTTTCTTGGATTGTTCGAAACTGGGTATCCACATCTCTCGCAAAGAGCTCCAATGTTGAGCCAGAGGTGAGAAAGCAAACACAGTAGGCTCCGGGCAACTCAGGTGGGTAACTTCTGCCTTCCATCTTTTGGGTGTTAAGCCCTGCATTGAGAGAAGGAGAAACAAGAATTAAAAACACATGTTAAGGAAGCTCAAGGCCCACCTTCCGGCCCCACAAAAACAGAACCTAGCACACACTTTCCCCAAAGCAAGTATGTTTGCTCCATAAAGTCTCAAGAGTTATACTGTTGAATAGTTGAAAGAGAGAAAATATCTAACATTTATTGAGAATGTTCTGTGCATTATACTTTGCTAGGCACTTACCACAGATTAGCTCATTTAATTTTTATGGCAAACATATTTTACAAAGGTAGAAGCTAAGGCTCCAAAGTGTTACATTAATTGTTTCAAACAATATACCTATGATTAAACCTAGTTCTCTCCAGATTCTAAAGCTTTCTCCTTCTTGTTATTTGTTTGGTGATTTATTTATTTCCTTTTCCCTTATTCCCACTGCCATATCCTCCTCTCCAAACATTTTAGTGCATTCAATACGAATCTTTGTATTTAAATGTCTTTTTAGAAAGTGTATTTTCATTTTCTGGGCACTTATTTTTCATTTACTTATATATTATTATATCATATATCTCATTCTGTTTGTTACTTTTTCATCAAACATTGTTTTTAATTGTATTCATGTTGCCACATGTATAATCTAATCCCTTGTTTTTAATGCATTTCCACTGCATTCAGCTGTCCCCTGCACAAAGATGTTTGCACAAAACAATAACACCTGACATGTGCATGAGACCTTCCAGCTTTTGAAAGCTTTTACATGGACCTATACCCAAATGAGCTTGGTCCAAGCTCCATCTTGGTTTATTTCCATGGTCTCCTAACTAGTCTTCCTGATTCCACTCTTAATCTACTGCTAGCTACACTCAGCCGCTACCTGCATTGCAAGACAAAGTCAAAGTCCTTACTAGGATCTATAAGACCCATTCAGGATTTGGCCCTCTAATAATTTTCTATGAAATGGAGGAAGGAAGAGAGAAAGGAAAGAAATAAGAGAGAGAACAACAAAAAAGAGGAAGACAGAGAGACTAACTCTAGAATAGCAGATTGAACACACCATCTAATTTCATTCCCTCCTGAAATGCCATTAAAATGAGATTCAAATAATTATTCTTAAAAGATACTAACCTGTAAAAACTAGGAGAATGGAAGAGGGCGAAAGAATAACAAGATGTTTGAGACTGGAAGGCAGATGGAAAAGTAGTAAATCACTTAACAGATTTAAAAAAAAAAATAAAGTGTCACAAGGCAGCAGGGAGATGAGCTGGGCAGCAGTCTGTTTTACACTGCAGAGCCTTAAGGCTCAGGAGGCACCAGATACTCCTGGAAGCGGGAGAGAGGGCAATAAATTAAGAAGAGTTCTTAGAAAGTCTGTTTACAAAGCAATCAAATACTCAGATTCCTTCCTCCTTTCCTTGTGACCAGGTGTGTTCTTCTCCCTTACTTGACAAAAGACTAGAGGTTCATTCCTTGCAGAAAGAAAACACAAGATCTTTGACCTGGAGAACAAATTTGAGGGCAGTGCTGTGGTACTATAAATAAAAGATTCAGTGAGCATATGAATATGCGATATTGAGACCCTCTTGTTCTCTTCCTATAATCCATTCCTAAAATGCTGGTAGGCAGGCCTTACAGTCCAGACAGGAAAATCAACTATCCTTCTCAAGAGAATGTGATATGTCCAGAAGGATGTATGTCAGATATTCCCTAAGAAAAAACCTAGCAGATTCCCCTACAATGAAGCTCACAGCCAATATGCCCCACTCGTACTCAGAACTGCCAATCAAACCACCCTAATACGAGCAGGTTATCAAGACTACAAATCATCTGAGAAAAATTACCAACGGGGAAAACAGATAAGGCAAGAAAATTTTAGAAAACTTGACAGAGAGCAAGAGAGAGAAAGAAAAAGATTAATTAAAAAAAAAAAAAAAATCAGATTCCAGAAAAGGAAATATTAAGAGAACCAAAAGAAATGATATCTTAGAAATTAGATATATAATAGCAGAAAAGAAACAATTAATAGAAGAGTTAAAGACAAAGTTGAGATACATTCCATAAATTAAAAGACAAAGAAATGGAAAAAGCATTTGAATATTGGACCGCTTGGATTGGTTCTTTAATACTAGAGAACAAGTCTGAGAGGAACAATATACAAATATTAAGAGTTACAGAGGGAAAGAAATAAATATCCAAGGAAATAATTATAAAAAGTTATGAATTATCCCCAAATTGAAAGACCTCAGTTTCAGAGAGACAAGGCTCACTAGAAACTCGGCACAACACAAACAGCCTCTTGTCAAAGTACGTTTCTATGAAATTTCAGGACACAAGGAAGAAAGAAGAGATTTTACAACCAGAGGAAAAGTCCAATTGTGAGGATCAGCTGTGAGGATGGTTTGGATTTCTTGACAGCAATAGTGGAAGAATCAAAAAGCACTGATGAGACATATTGATGAAGGTTATAACATGATGACTTTAAGGAGAAAAAAGATATTTGTATAATCTAAAAATATCTCCCTGCTCCCCAAATTTATTAATTATTGTGGTGGTTTTAACATATGTTCACAAATTATTTGGTATCCTTCCCTCAAGAAGGCGAAGCTAATTCCCTTCCCTTTGAGTGCGGGCTGGACTTAGTGACTTGCTTCATAGAAAGAAAAAATTAGTAACCTCACAGTGGAAAAACCTAGAAGATAACATCTTAACCAAGTGATCAGAGTTAAAACATCACCAGGAACATGTCATATTGATTTCATGCATCCCCAATATAATGGAAAGAGAAGGGCCCTTATGTCTCTGCATAGGGCCCTTCTACCCTCAAATACAAAACTCGAGTCATAACACGATGAAAACATCAGACAAACCGTATGGGGAGACATTCTACAAAACACAAATCAGTACTCGTCACAAGGATCAAAGTTATTAAAACTGAGGAAAGCATGAACATCCATCACAGAGTGAAGGAGACTAAGGAGACATGATGACTAACTACAATCTGCTTTTCTAGATTTGCTCCTGGGACAGACGAAAGATATTAGTGGAAAAGTTGGTGAAATATGACTAAAGTCTGTAGATCAGTTAATAGCAGTGTACCAATATTGATTTCTTAGCGTTGACAAACGTGCCGTGGTTCTGAAAATGTTAACATCAGAGGAAGCCAGGTGAAGAGGATACAGGCACTCTCTACTGTATGTGTAACTCTTCTGTCGATTTAAACTCATTTCAAAATCAAAAGCCTTTTTAAAAGGCAATGACAAAACGCCTCCAAAATTCTGAAAGTGATGTCCACTTTAATATTTTTACAGTCAGCTAAACTATTGCTTAAATGTTACGGTAGAATGGAGACATTTCAGATATCCCCCATACAGCCTTCTCAGGAAGTTATATGGAGTATGATCAACCGAAACATGAAAGCAAACTAAGAAAAAGACAGAAAAGCATATAGGAAATAGAGATGTCAAAACAAGAGGAAAAGACAAGAAAGGAAATTCCCACGATGGTGGGGAAGGGAGATCTCAGGCGGAAGCTCTGTAGTAAACATAGAGTGCAGCCAGTGCATGTACTGGAGGTCAGAATGCTGGAGGGAGAGATTTCTTCAACATGAATTTAATTGGATGCCTGGTATATTTGAACATGTTCAAAGGAGATTTAAACAATCAACAAGGATTGAATTAGTAACGACTACATAAGAGAAATAAACAAAAAGACAATTACTAACTAGAGGGAAACAAAAAGTTGTAGAAGCAAGAGAAACAAATCATAGTATACTACATGATTCATGTCTGAATAAGAGTTACATAGTCATAATCACATAAACACTGAATATTTTAAAAATTAGTATAAGCATGTTATATAGACACAATGAGTAAATACCAAAATAATTAGCTAACTATGGAGTAAGTGGTTGCTTCTGGGATGGGGGAAAAGGGAAAAGTAAAAGACTGCTCTCTTTTTATGTTTTTTATTATTATTTAAGTATAGTTGGTATACAAAATTATATTAGTTTCAGGAATACAATACAATGATTAGACACATAGACACCTGACAATGCGATCACCACACTAACTCTACTAATCACCTTGTCTTTTGAAAAACGAACAAATTTGGAAGATTGACACTACCTCATTTCAAGGCTTATTATAAAGCTACAGTACTCAAATATAGACGTATTGATTAGATAATACATATATTGGCCAATTGATATTTGTAAAAGAAACCAAAGTAATTCAATCAGGAAAGAATAATCTTTCCAATAAATGGTGTGGATATAATTGGATATCCAAGTAAACGAGCCTCAACTCTTACATCATACTACACTATAAAAATTAACTCTAAGTGGATTATAGACCTAAAGGTAAAATTTAAAACTATAATATTTCTAGAAGAAAACAGAAGCAAATCTTAGGGACAAAGATTTTTAAACAGCACATGAAAAGCATGAACTATAAAAGAAAACATTGATGAAAATTTCTAATCAAAATTAGAAACTTAACACTTCAAGACACTGTTAAGAAAATGAAAAGAAAACCTACAGACTAAAAGAGAACTTTTGTTAATTACACAATTGACAAGTGACTTGTATTCAAAATATATAAAGAATTTTTATAACTCAAGATTAACAAAACAACCCAATTTTCAACAAATGAGTAAAAGATTTGAAGAGACATTTCACCAAAGAAGAACTTGATGGCCAATGAGCCATTAATAGATACTTAAAATCATTAATTACTAGAGAAATGTAAATTAAACCACTGTGAGAAACCACTGTACACCCATCACCAAATGCTAATGAATGGAACTCATACAGTGCTGGCGGGAATGTAAGATAGAATAACTTTGGAAAACAGTTTGGTAGTTTCTCAAAATGTTAAACATACATCTACCATATGAGTAAGCCATTCCACTCCTAGGTATTTAAAGAAAAGAAATGAAAGCATATGTTCATACAGAGACTTGTACATAAATGTTCAAAGCAGCCTTATTTGTAACAGCCAAATAAGGAAACAACTCAAATGTCCATCAACAGGTGGATGGATAAGCAAATTTTGGTATGTCCAAACTTCAGCAGTAAAAAGAAATGGACTACTGATACGTCTATCAACATTGTGGATGAACGTAAGTATTATCTCGCAGAGTGAAAGAGGACAGACACAAAAGAGTACACAGTATCTGATTTTCATTTATACACAATTCTAAAAAACTGCTTAAGCTTCTTTGTCAAAAGTGACAAAAAGCAGATAGGTACCTGAGGAAAGGGGTGGAGAGGAGATGGACTACACAGACGAAGAAACTTTTGAGAGATGATAGAAATGTTTGTTGTCTCAATTATGGTGATAATTTGACAAGTGTATGCATATGTCATAACTAATAAAATTGTACACTTTAAATATATGCAGTTTATTGTATGTCAATTATACCTCAATAAAGCTAATTTTTTAAAAAGTTTGTTCCAATTCCATGAAATTATATTTCTGATGATTATATGTTTTTTAGCCTCTTTGAGGTCAGGAGTATTTATCAATAAATGTGCTTTAACTGACTAAAATCTCATGGGTAGCATCTTCAATACTGAAAGACTTTCTCCTACACAAATAAAGCAAACAACACCCAGAATAAGCCTACTCAGATTAACTAGGTGGGGAGGACGGACTCAGGGTGGCCCCCGTGATCCCATCTCCTGGTATTCATGCCCTGTGTAATCCCCTCTCCTTGACTGTAAGTGTCACTTGTCACTTGCTTCTACCTAACAAAATATGATAAAGATGACAGGATGTATGTGATTACATGTGATTACATATTTAAGATTGTAGCACTGGTCTTGCTAGAATCTCTCAGTCCCTGGCTGGCTCTGAGGAAACAGCCATGTTGGGGAAGCCCACATGACAAGAAACTGTGCATGGCCTCTAGACGCTGAAGGCAGCCTCCAGCCTACGACTAGACAAAAATATTAAAGCCCTCAGTTTTCTAACCTCAAAAACCTGAATCTGTCAGCAAGTGTTTGAGTTAAGAAGCAGACCTGTCCCCATTTGAGCCTCCATATGAGAACCCAGCCCTTACTGACACTTTGATTGCAGCCTTCCTGAGTACCCCACTAAGGCATGACCAGAACCCTGACCACAGAAATTGTGATATAACAAATCTATGTTGTTTTAAGCCACTACATTTGTGATAACATTGTTTACACAGCAATAGATAACACACTAGGTTTGTATGATTATAAGAGGGAGAGGAAGGGAGAGGCAGAATAAAGGGCAATGCATTTGATATTCTAATCCTATTTTCGAAATTCAAGTGATTTAAACTATTTTCAATTGCAAGATAAAAACTAATTACAGAGGAAATCAAATGATTTCTTTTAGCTTTTTTGGGGGGAGGGGGAGCTGAAAGAGAAAAAGCAAAGAAACATATTTAAGTAGCTTACTTTAAGGCATATCATATAAATGCTGTAACAAACCTTATCAAATAAATGCAAATGAAAATGGTCTAATACCCTTTAATTTACTTTCATGGTATATTTTGTTCTGCTTTTTCAGTAATGAGCACATTAGCATTAGAGATTTGTAATAAGTTCATTGAAATGCAAGTGAAGCCCTGTAATCATCTTCACTGACCACATTTCTGGGAAGAATGAGAGCACGGTGGAGGAAAGCCTGCTCTATGTATGTTTCCTCAGACTCCAAAGAGAAGGACATTCAATTATACCATCTTCAGGCACTCTGAAACACCACAATCAGTTAGCCGTTTCTGTTGGAAATGCAGGAATGTATATATTCTCCTATATCTTTTAAAAAGCCATGTACCACTGTTGCTATACCCTCTTTTCCAGTCCACAGTAATCATTCCAAAAGGGCTTCTGTGAGGTGCAGGAGCAGATGGGGTTTACGTAGTTCTTTCAGTTTTCTGTGAATATAATGTCCAAGCTTTGAAAGGATTAGGATACACAGAGCAGGCAGACCATTACTCTCAGAAGTTCTGTTTCATACCTTGAGATATTCTGAAAATAAATAATTGGTATGGCATGGACAATTAATATGGTCTCTACTTTCTCATGTGTTTTTGCAATCATATGTATACTTTATTTTTTGCTGTAATGTGGCCTTATAAATTAGGTTATAAAGGAAGTCATTAGAAATTGGGAGAATTCATTGAGAAGTGATGTAATATTTAGCATTCCTGTTGCTGACCAAGACACTCAGCTTAAGATAGCTGATTCTATGAGTGAAAATTTGTTATAGAAAACCAGATAAAAGAATTAAAATTTTCATAATAATTAAACATTAGAAAAATAACATTTCAAATATTTTAAATTTGTCTAAATACGCATATTTAGTATATAAAAGCCTTATATAGTATACATATAATACATAAAAATAATCTTGCACAGTTTACATTTATGTTTGACCTGAAATTAATATGCTAGCCAAAATATTTAACAAAAATTGTTTGCCTTTAGAGAATTTAGATAAATTATGTCCATATGGGAGTCAGGCAAGGGAATCATGGGTAATAGCCGACTAGTATGTAACGGCTATCTTATTTTTAACATTTTTCAAAGGGAGTTGAAACTAATCTTTCTTTTTCTTTTAACAAATTACCTTTTAAAAAATTCAGTTATGTATAAAGCGGGACCATTCCTGATATAAATGAATAAAGTAAGTAAATAAATGTTAAAAGCATCTAGAAATTTGAAGACATTAGTAAGAACTTAATTTATAACAATTTAAGAAAAAGAAGTCTTTTAAGGATTATCCCCATCATTATCTGAATATTCTCTATACATTAATAAACATGTGCATGTTCCAGGAAGAGAAAGAGCAAGGATCAAAGAAAGAGAAAGGTTAATTGATAATGAATGTGAAATAAAAACAAGTTTCCAAACAGCAGCCTGTGGGGTATAAGCGTAAAGGGTCTGGCAGAAACCACAGTATCGATGAGAAGGTTAAAGGTTTGGCCACGTGGATGAGATTGGGAGCTTCAAAATTTTTTTATTTTTCACCCTTGTTCCCTCCCTCTGCAGTCTCCTTGTATCACCACCCAGCACCTGCAGCTTGGTGTCCTCCGGAAGAAACAGTAAAGGAGAATTTAAGGCCTTCCGGAAGAAGGGCATGTCAGTACACTTCATGGCAGTCCTCAAAAGATAGTGATGAAATATTTAACCTTCCTGCAGAGCCTGGCCTCTCAGACAGGAATGAGGAGCAGCAATGAGCTGCAACAGAAGGATGAGGAATAACAGAGACCGTTAAGATGGCCATCCTGGCACCTCTTTGCCAAACCTAGATCCAGCCACTTACCTGTTCCTGAAGCCTAATATTATCCCACACCTTGTTGCACACCATACACTCAAATGCATCGATGTAGTTGTCTTGGTTAATGTCTTGCACTCCCCATTTCCGTTCCCTGAGGGCTGTGAGAAGTCGCTGGTTAGAGATCTCACCCTTCAGCTTCCACTTTATGTAGGCCTCGTACAGTCTGTCATCATAGTCCAGTTGTCTGATGTAACTTGCCAGTTCTCTAGGGTGGGAAAATTCTGATACGATAATGGCACTTCTGTTACTTGGAAGCCAGTCTGTGATGCTAGGGGAACCATAGTATACAGGGACTACCCCCAGTTTTAGAGGTCTCCAGAACTTCTCAGTGATGTAGTCGTCACAAACCGCATTCTCAAAAGCAAGGATAAACTTATACTGTGCAATGATGCTATAAAAGCCATCGGCATCCATGGAGGCCGGGTTTCTCAGCTGCTGAGGGAGGTCTTTGTTTCGTAAACACTCGCCGTAGGAATCAACCTCTATGTAGGTCATCAGCTCTCGAACATAGCTGTCCCGATCCGATGGTGGGTCGCAGTCCGACTGTACATACACCAGCGGAGCGAGTCTTGTTCGAAGGTTGTTTTTGGACTGCAAAGGGACCAGGTATCGGTGTGACTTGAGGACTTCTACGCCCTCTAAGTACTGGGTAGTTAGTGGCAGGTGGGAATGCCGGCTGAATGTGGCAGTGTAGTTGAACAAGGTGATGACTGGCTTGTGAAAGAGCTTATAATTGTTTTTTGGAGATTCTTCATGAAAAAGGGCCCAGTCATGATGGGCTTTCCGAGGCAGAGGTAAGCTATCTATGTTAAAGTCAGTACCTAGGAGAAGAAAATAAAATATTAGTATGTCCAAAAGAATTCTAGTATTTAGATTTGAGTCCACATGGTAAGATTAGAACACAGGGGAGCGAGCCGGAGACTTTCACCTTGGAAAATTCTCCCAGAGAGAATCACCGAGGAGAGGGGTCCTCTTTCTCATGTAATGGAAAGGGAAATGCAAGTAGTGTCTAGCTGGGTTCTAAAGGGAGAATTTATTCCACTGCCTCCTGCAATTGGCTGTTTTTCCTAGAGGTGTTGCCTAAGAGAGGACACAAGCAATAAAGAGATAGACAGTTCTTAAAAAATAAAAGAGCAAGAGAAAGGAAGCCAAAAAGGGAAAAGCAATCAGCTTGGCAGATTGATTGACTGAAAAAAGGTGAAATCATGCAAAAGTAGCCAGAACAAATATACAGGATAGATTTTTTAATCCAAATGATCGATTTCAACAAAGTGCAGTTAATCAATCTTAGTCAAAATGGTAGACAAGAAGCTTTTAAAGACGAAATAGCTGATAATAGCACTATGTTACAGACTGCTGCAGGATGGACATGAATTAACAAGCACATCAAGAAATAAAGAAGGCATAACAGGATTACAATTATGAATGATTCTAGTTTCCACAGGATTAATTGGGAAACCTTTGAAAGATGATAATGTGCAGACAAAGGTGATGGATGTGGCAAACAATTGTTTCCTGACTGCATGGGTGGAGACTCAGTCAGGAAGAATTTATTTCTATAACTGAGAAAAAAGAATTAGGACACTGTCACAACATATAATACAGAATGTCTAAAGTGTTTCTGACACTGATGATTTTGTGGCCCCTGATTTGTGTTTTTTTAAATGTAAGAAAATGACAAAAACAAAAATAAAAACAAACAAAAAAAATCTTTTAGCACCCAGTGGAGAAAAAGCACCAAATAAATGCTTCTAGCAGAAAAAAACATATTCTCCAGTAGAATTCATAAAAAATAATTATTTAATGCCAGTGAACACTCTCAAATAAATATATACTCTTTAGTGCCACCAGTACATCAATGAGAAATCAATTAACCAAGAAAGGCTTTTAAACAATTAAAGACCAAATAAGATTATCTTGGAGGACATATACTAAGCACAGAGAAAATGCTGAAGAAAGTACGACTGTCTTGATAACAGGCTTTTATTCTCAATGATCAGGAATAAAAGACTAACATCTAAAAATGGTTATATATTTGTTTACTTGGCATTTGCTATACTTGACCTTTACATCAAAAAGAATACACACTTGAAATTTAATGGCTTATAGAGTTGGATGGTCAGCAAAGGTTAAGAGAGAAACATGAGGACATGAAAGAAGAGAATTTTAGAAGAAAGGCAATGTATTGCATTGAAGCGGTTGTTGTTCAAAAGGCACTAGGCTGGTCAAGTGGCTAATGAAGAGAACTGGAACCCATAAACTTCAGTTAAAACATAAAGTGTCCACTGAAAGCATAACAGAGAATCAAGGCCATTTGCCTAGGAGAGGAAGAACTGCAGTCCAATCCCTGGGAGTCAGAGGCAAGGATCAAACTGTAAGATTGGAGACTAGAAGGGATATGGTTAAAACAAAATTGGGTATAGAATAAACTGGGGGACCAGATACAGGTGTCCTGAGTGAGTGACTCGAACAACAGTGGCTGTCTGCTAATTGTTATGTGGCACACCTGTGATTTATAATCTGGCTCACCCCCTGAGTGTCACAGCAAAGTTCCAACATGCAGAGGAGGGAAAAAGTAGAAAGACACAAGGCCTGCCTCCAGTGCTTCAGGGAACAGAGAGGGCCTGAGTTTCATCTCTGCTTGTCTATATGAGTAAAGTACAAGAGAAACTAAACATGGCTGTGTCTAGACCTTTTGGCAGCCACTCTCTAGAATCACTCAGGTTGTGTTGGTAATGAGAATGGGACTTGAAACAGGTACCAGTTATAATGAGCCTTACATTCATTATAACTAGGAGAAGATGGCTTACAAGCTCTTTGTACCTTTAGTCAAGTTGCTATTGGAACTTTGATGTTGGAAGGAAAAGAGAAAAACTTTGGGTCTCTCCCATATGCAATCTGCAATAGCAAAAAAGCCTGCAGCACCTAAGCAAGTAACATTTACTTATATTCACGTACTAAAAAGCAACACAGCTTTTTAAAAATGAGAGCGTGAGGTTCTCATACATCCATCTGAATTTTGTTTAATTTTTAGGAGTGGGCTTTATATCTTTAATAGTGGGAAAATGCCTCGTTCATAGAGCAGAAAGTTAAAGGGATCTAACTTTCCAGAAACATTTTCCATTATTTACCATCTTAAAAAGTATTTCCTTGAACTGATAGAATAAAGTAATTGAGACCACAGTTCCATCACCCAGGGATGACCATTGATAATAATTTGTGATAAATTTCTTCAGTGGTTTTCTTATCCATAACGGTGCACTGTAAACATTATGAGATTCATATTGCATGTGACTTCAATGTCTTTTATTAAGCTCACATTTTTAGCATGAAAAAAAAGTACTTCCTAGTTACTTTCCTAACATACACACATATAACACAAAGACATACACATTAAAATAGGTTTTCTATATCTTTACAAACTAAAATTTTTTTTTTGAAAGTCATTGTTCCCAGTGAGTTCCTCCTCTAAACCTAGAGTTTCAGATGGTAAACTCTCAAGAGTACTGAAATTAAACCATAACAGACACAGAAGACTTCACTGAAGATATCATGGAATATGAGTATCAATATTAAGCTATTTCTAAAAGGTATGGGATGTGCCTCAGGAAACAACTGAGTTATTTAGCTCTCTCTGACACCAGGGCAATGCCCATTAAAACGAGAATTTGAACGAGGGTTTTTAAAGAAATAAACACCAATTGACCTATGGCAAATCCAAAAAAAAAAAGTGACGAACTTGCATGTGATTGGTTCGCTAGACATCTTAACAACTTCATTTTAACTTTCATTTCTCTGGGTTATTTTGTGTTTACTAAATACTGACAAATTTATTTGTTCCTTTAAATAACAGCTGACAAATAGATCTTAAGCACTAAAGTGCATTGTAAAGGAAATTGCGACTTGGAATACAAATAGAATAAACTTAATGCTGGCAAATGATCCCAGACTGCCGATTGTGGAGACTGGGTTTGAAACAGCTGATAAGCAGAAGAGTGTCAATGGTTTATGACACACCTTTTCTTCTCCAGGGGCATATACTCTTCTTTTGCGATTCCTACACAAACTTGGTGAAAACAGAAAGCAACACAAGTCATTAACTCCGCTTGACTAACAAACTACGAGCCATTATCTGGAGCTAACAACCCCTGGTGGGGACCGGAATTGTCAGACTGGCCAATGGTAAAGGACAAGAGAGATCACTGGCCCTGCTACCACATTGATGCTGCTGAATAACTTACTCTTGGCACCCCTAAGTGCATCTGCAAAAATATTACTCAGCTTAAACCCAGTCCACTTGGGAAGATGGCATGACTTAATTTGGGAAAAAATTTTTTAAAAAATGCTCCCACGAAATGTCCTCCAAAGGTAATTTCTGTTTTTAGAAAGAACCTCTACCATAAAACTGTCTCATAAAACGTGGTCCCACAAAAAACACCCCAATAGAGGAAATTAAAACTTTTGAGGAAGAACACTTTAAGCCAAAGGGCTGCCTTGTATATTATCATCTAGCATTTGCAAAGTTCGTTGCTAATTTTAAAGACATTTCACATGAATTTTCTCAACTTACCCACATAACCCAATCAGGTCATTTATTTTCTCTAAGGTTTGATGGTTAACAAAATGTTAAAGAAAGGCTCCTATTACCTCAGGCTAAATTCTAACCAAAGGTACTAGAATTGTGTGCCACATATGTGTTCTTGAGGCTGGCCTACCTCTAGTCAATTCAGAGAGACTTTGGCAGGCTGCGTGACTCAAAACGCCCTCATACTAGACCCAGTTTCTTCTTCTCTTTTTTCCCATCATCTCTCTTAATGAGTCCTTTTACCTGTCCCTTAATCAATTCTATGTCACAGAGCTTTCTCTCAATTATACATGTTCAATTAGGCATTTGTCCATTCTACCCCAGGGCCTAGAAATTTCTCATCTCCTTATTGAATTTGCGTGGTGGGCCAGTCAATAACTTTGCAGTCCCCATCCTAACAGGGCAGGACCTGAGGGAAGAGTACAAATAGAGTCCCATGTACCATATGCCTAAACATTTAAAAGCTATAAATCAATTTAACAAACTGTTAAATGTTTTATCCTTCTACCTTAACATATACACATTCATGATTTTTTAAAAATGTGCAAAGCCACAGTTCACACTAAATAAGGATAGCACATATTAAAATTTAACATCATTTTCTGCCACAGTTCATAATTCTTTGAGGGGGCTTAGCATGGGGTGAAAAGAGAAGGGGGATGATTCTCCCTCGCTTGCTGACTCGCCCTCACTGAATCCCTCAAACCTCCCCTTTTATTCACTCAGGATGACCACACATGAAACATCCATCTTCTCTTCCTCTACAGAGTGAGGGTGAAGTTCACTCATGGTCCGCCTGTCCCTACTGGGCAGGTGCCTCATGAAGCACCTGAGTGTGTTGTCTCAGGTTCCTCCTCAGCTGAAAGGGTCCCCATCAGACAATCTCTGCCCCCATCCCTGCCAGCATCAGCCCTTCAAGTCCCTGAGAGGAACCTGTGGCTAGAAGGCCATATTCAAATTTAAAACTCAGATTCCTCAGAGTTCCAAGCTAGAATGAAGTGGTGCCTGGCCCCCTTTTCCTTCTACCCTTGGCTCTGTCTCACACTGTGAGGGACCCTGTGTTTATGGTCCTTCAATCTTCAAAGCCATGTTCCACCTTGACAGACTCCCTCTTCGATCAAACTTCAGTCAAGCTCTTCTGATCTCTCTGCTTACTACACCTCGACCTTGGCCTGACACTCTGCCCTTGGTCTGCAGAGCCCAGTTTCAGCAAAGAATTCTACTATGTTAGTTGAG